CAACCTTGAAATCCTTTGAGGAAGTTGATGCTTTGGATCCGTCCACACAGGACGTTGTTGACGAAAATGAGCAAGATGAGGAGCAAATCCAACAAGAAAGAGAAATTCGACAAGAAAGAGCCATGAAGATTTCTAATTATGCAAATATAGTCTTGCTGATACTCAAGGTAAGTTTTTACTACTTGTTTCGTGGTCAATTTGATCTCCAGAACTGTTTCTCATCATTATCGTATCTTTATGGAGGAAACTATGCTTGGCAATTAATTGTGAGGATTTTATGATGTGTGGAATTTGTGATCCCTTTCTTATATTCTTATATTCTCACTGTTAAGGCAACAATTTGCATTTTGAGCAGATCTATGCCACAATAAGGAGTGGATCCCTAGCTATAGCAGCATCAACATTGGACTCTTTACTTGATTTCATGGCTGGTGGCATTCTTTGGTTCACTCACTTGTCAATGAAAGATGTAAACATTTATAAGTATCCTATTGGAAAACTGAGGGTGCAACCAGTAGGCATAATTGTCTTTGCTGCTATTATGGCTACACTCGGTATGTTCTTTGGTTGTTGAATTTGATTGAACATTTACAGTGAACTTCCCTGAATCCTAAATCTGTCCAATACCCACTAATCTTTTCTCTGCACCATGATTATGATTTCCTAAGTTTTGATCTTCCCATGAATTTTTTCTAGTAGAATCTATTTTGTTTGATAAGAATACAACTAAGCTGAATATGTGTTATATCTTCTATTCTCACTAAGCTTCTATTATTGTTTCTTGGGGTTGCTATCCTATAGATGCCCCCCGCATTAAGCAGAGAGAAATAAAGGCATCTAAACATGTCTGCATTCCTTTTGCATCATTGAAGTGTCTGCAACCTTTGTGCTTGTTTACAGGCTTTCAGGTGTTAATCCAAGCTCTAGAGCAACTAATTAAAGATGAAGCTTCAGAGAAAATGTCCTCAAATCAATTGATATGGTTGTACGCCATCATGATAACTGCTACAGTGGTGAAACTTGCCCTCTGGCTTTACTGTAGAACTTCACGGAACATGATCGTCCGTGCTTATGCAAAGGTTTCCTGCTCTATGCTTCAATCATGAGTTCAATTCTCTTTCGCTTCAAATTGTCAGTTGCATAATTCTTTGATTGCTTATTCCCAGGATCACTTCTTTGACGTGGTGACAAATGTGGTAGGATTAGTTGCGGCTGTTCTCGGTGATGAAACTTACTGGTGGATTGATCCTGCTGGGGCTATTGCCCTTGCACTTTATACAATAATAAATTGGTCAGGAACTGTTATGGAAAATGCAAGTATGTTCTCTCTTCCTTGCTTGTTTTAATCTGATGATTATTTATCATAGATGATGATTTGATTTGGTTTCTTTTCACTTTAGGAAAAATTAGTGTATGCTTGCCTTTTTCCATCATAAATTTGTATTTGATTTCATGACATGGCTTCTTTCTTGATGCAGTGTCACTTGTAGGACAATCAGCTCCTCCTGATTTCTTGCAAAAAGTAACATATCTGGTAATAAGGCACCCCCTAGTAAAGCGAATTGACACTGTCCGTGCTTATACCTTTGGCGTCCTTTATTTTGTTGAGGTCAGTTTTGTGTGTGATTCTCTTTTTGTGGTACTAAAATGATCTAGCCAATAATAATTTC